CCTATGCTCTTTCTGTAGTCAAAAGATGAGGCCATTTGCTTGAGTTACAGGGAGTCTAGAGACTTGACAAGAACTCAACAGCCATTTATATGCCATTTCTCATTAGTAAAAGATCTGCTTCTGAAACTTTCAGGGCATAATACTCAATGATGGGGGAATATCTTCTGAAAATTTCACATGAATTCATTGAACTATCGCTAAGTTATTAATCTCTCAATGGTATGATATAGTTTTTCGGTTTATCAATATTTACACTAAAATGATTATAGTTCATGAATAGATAGATGAACTTTAATGAAATTTTTAGTGCAAATAAGTACTAGGTAGGGCTTCAGAATGAGAGGTTGACCGACTCAAAATATCTTATCTTTCTCGAGTTATCAAGTTCATAATGCATACCAATGACATTCATTAGAACTCCATTCTTACTCGAGCAAATGTGGTGTAGATGGTGCCGCTGACCTACATTCTTCATGGGCTACCTGCACACCAATTTTCAGTCGCTCAGCTCTTGTATGGACTGAGATCCGAGGGAGGGATACTTTTGTCAAGTAGTGTAAATAACTAAACAATAAAAAACGCTCAATATCTTTAACCCTTCTTTCACTTATACTAACTAGAAACTACTTAGAGTAGCTAATTTTCTTTTCATTTGAAAATATCATGTAAATGCTGACGTTCAACCGAAGCTTACAAAAAGAGGTTTCAGTTAGAAAAACATGAATTTTGCTGAGGATTCTCTCAGAATTTTGGTGTTTATTCGAAGGAAATTATATTTAAAGACAAACGTAGGTCTAAGAACTGATATCTTCCAGAAAGAAACATTTGAGAATTTACAGTCTATGATAACTTGTGTTCTGATGAACCATTCTCTAAAAATAAATACCGGAAAGGTTTTTCTTAAGTCGAATTCAAAACAAGACTTTCAACCAGCAAATTTCTTAAAATATTCAATTTCGTTTAACTCAAATAGTTTGAATTTTAATAAAAAAATTTTATTCTATAAGAGCTTATTTAATAACTCAACGTGATGTATTTTTTGATCGGTCGAAAGCTTGTCAATTACTTACATGGATACTTACAAATAAAGATGGATTAGAAAAAATTGATTTACCACCACCAACTATATATAAAGTATACATATATTGTTAAAATACTTTTGATTTTAATAAGAAAATCTTATTCTTTTTTTCTTATTTGTTAAATAGCCTTGTCAATTATGGACAGGCAAACAATTATTTAATGTTATACTTCGACTTAATAATTCTTGTAAAGATATTATTAATTTACGTGTAAAAGGTAAAGCTTATTCTGGTAAAGATGAAGATTTATGTTGCAATG